AACTGCCGCCATTTTGGCGGTATTTGGCTCCATGACGCGGATTATTTCAAACTTATGTACAAATGTCAGGTTAGGATTGCATTTTCGATTGCACCTAATATATAGATACGTTACACTAAATGCAATATCTACACTCAACGCCATTTTGGCTCCAAATGCTAATTCAGTGAATTTTCACATCGCGGTACTTTGTTATCTAGTGACTTTAATATAGAACTTTAAAACGTTTTTGACCCGGCCGGGTTTGCATCAACCTGGGTTGGATTAATGGCGTTTTGTGCTCTCCTATTGGTAGAACGTGTAAGGCTGGAATCAGGCTACGCATTAAAGATTGAGATTGAAGATTGAAGATTAAAATTTGACCACTGAGGACAAAGGAATTTTAGCTCTTATTGTTTTGATTGGTGAAATTTCAATCTTTCAATCTTCAATCTCAATCTTCAATGCGTAGTCTGATTCCGACCTAACGTCAACCAATAAGAAAGATTAATTTAACTCAGGTTGGTGCAAACCTGATCGGGTCGAAAACGCGATGAGCGATGAGCGATATCCAATAAGAGAATAATGGCTGCGTTCTGAAACGTCTCTCGGATGCCTCTGATGCCACGGATTCGTCATCTGTCCTTTTTTAACATTAAACGTTAAATGAGGACAGATGAATCCAAGGCATCGGAGGCATCCGAGCGAAGTTTCCGAACGTAGCCAATGTCCATGTTTTTGATTCTTTTCCATACTATTACGTGGTTCAGTTGGCAATCTTGCTGAAGTGTGAGCGTTTACGTTTTAAAAGGAACGTTACAAACAGTTAGGGGGAAATCACACGGTACGGAAAAAGATGCGAAATAGAGAATGCGTCATTGAAGCAACCAATCAGCGTTATTCAGCGCTATTCGGAATAGCGCTGATTGTTTGCTTCAATGGCTGCGTTCAGCAGACTCAACAGTTTTGCAACCGTTTTATGATTGTCTGCTGAGATAGGACCATTCTTCTAGATCTAAAAGTATGATCCAATTAGCGCGAAGGAAACTTACAACAGTTGCAAAACAAATGTTCTGCTGAACGCACCCAAATGGCTGCGTTCAGCAGACTCAACAGTTTTACAACCGTTTTATGATTGTCTGCTGAGATAGGACCATATTCTAGATCTAAAAGTATGATCCAATTAGCGCTAAGGAAACTTCCAACAGTTGCAAAACAAACGTTCTGCTGAACGCAGCCACTGGTCTAGTTTCCACCGAGGGTTCGAATCGGGTCAGAATGCAAGAACCAACTAACTACAGTCGAGCATTCCCCTGTTACGGTCGAATTACAGGGAAATGATCGACTGTAGTTGGTTGGTTCTTGCATTCTGACCCGGTTCGAACTCTCGATGGAAACTAGGCCAATGACGCATTCTCTATTCCGCAGTCTTTTTCCGCACAGTGTGATTTCACCCTTATAAAAGCATATGAAGCAGAAGCAGCGGGAACATGGATTCTAACGAAATGAAAAAAGTTATTTTTCTTAAACATGCCGAAGACAATGAAGTTTATACTATTTTATTGACTGAAGAAGAAGCAAAATGTTTAGGAGCAGGTAAATTCATTCATTCTTTAGTGTTCTTTTCGGAATTATTATTGCAAAATATTTGAGGTTATCAATTACTGTTATTTTCCAAAATTGTTATCAGTTAATAATGACTGTTCCGAAGAGCGCATGTTGCGCGTAATGTATCATTTTACCTTATTATTATTTATCGAATGTTAAACAAAAATAAAATGATCCATCACGCGCAATATACTTTATAGATCCAAGGGAATATTTTCTAATTTTTGTGCTTTTAAATATATTTTTCCTTATTTTTAAATTTTATTCTTTTTGCAACTACAAAACTAAACGAGGTGAAACATGATAAACAGGATAAATTTAATATGTTTCTTTAGGTAACAGCTTTAATAGTATACATGATACATAAAGAAAATATTTTATAAGGATTTTCTGATACACTATGGTTGTTTTTATTTAGATAATAGCATAAGTGAAATAAGTCATGCAGAGCCTTTACATAGTGACCATACTGACAATGTTGGAGGTATTTTTAACGATATTTTTTAAGTACTTAACAACTGTAATTTTTGAATTTAAAAAAAAATTTGTATTTATAGTTTTTAAATGGCCTCATGAAGCGATTCTTTTATTAATTGAGGAATATAATTTGCGACAAGAAGATTTTACCAGTGGAAAGATGTCACAGAAGAAGATATGGTCATTAATTGCAGATAAAATAAAAAAACATGGATATAATGTAACTGGACTACAATGTTTTTCCAAGTTTTCTGGTTTGAAACGAACTTACAATGGTATTAAAGAAAATAACAGAAGACCTAGATCTGGAGTATGGCCATATTTTTCTGTAAGTTATTAATTTAATATTCAATACAGTCTAATAGCTGTGTAAAAATATTAAGATAAAAAGAAACTTTTTAACTTTGTATCTAAATCTATGATGACAGTCCTTACTAGTTATTAATCAATAATTTGATTATTAGATGAGTGTTTATAATTATTTTTTTAAATTCTTACAAAAAATATAACTTAAATGAATTTTTTTTTAGAATATGGATGAATTACTTCATTCAAAATCACCATTAATAACAGTATCATCGATTGAAAGAAAATATAAGGCACGTTCTAAATGCAGTACATCTAATCTAGATATTTGTTTCGAAGATGAAAAACCAATTCATAGTAAGTTTATGCCTATTTCCTTTCCTACTTTTCACTTTGTAGTTGTCTGTTCATAGTATGTTATATTAGATGGCAGGGACAAGGGATAAAGTAACTAAAGTAATAGGTATGAACTTGATCCTTGCTTAAAAAGTCCGATAGAATCAGATAGGAAAAAAAAACTACGTGATTGAATCGTGTTTTAGTTTCATAAATTTTAGATTGTTTATCTAAAATGTTCGATATATTTTCAGTATTTTTGTATTATTTTTTAATCAATTTCTATCTAGTTAACTAAATAGAAATTGAATAAAAACAGTATCTAAGCCGTATAATAAAGACGAAGATTTATAGAAATATAGAAAATTTATCCACAATATTTCAAATGAATAATCTGAAATTTATGAACCAAAAACGTGATTAAATCAGATAGAGTTTTTTCTTATCTGATTCTATTGGATTTTTTAAGCAGGACTATACATATTTTTGACAACGCATATGGGATATCCACAGGATTCGAACCTAAGACCTTTATGGAGTGACAACTTAAGGCGCTAACCCTGAGCTATAATCGTATGCTTATTTAGACCATGTGGCATTCAAGTGTTATTCAATTCCTCGTATAAGTTTTTATGGTGAATTTACTATACACTGTCGAAAATATTTTTTCTATACCACTCACGCATCTCTCCAACATTTCTTTCGTACTAGTTCCGCATCGTTTCCGCACCTTTTCCGCATTTCGTCCACATCTCTCGTACCACTTGCACATCACTTTTACATCTTTTTCACAATTCTCCGTATCTTTTCTGCACCTCTTTCGCACTCTTCCACACTTCTTCATCCATGCCTCTTCTACATCTTTTTTTATACTTCTTCCGTTATACTTTTACACCTCTTCTGCACGTCTTTTGTATCACTTCTGCACTTCTTCTGCATCTCTTTGCACCGTTTCCGTACCTTTTCTGTACCTCGTCTGTACTTCCGCCAATTTCATTCGTATCTTTGATATATACATTCTGATAAGTTGTCTAATTTATCAAAAAACAATATAATCTTATAAAACGTGGTTTCTTATTTCACCGATGGAATGTCTTACTTAAATATCATATTGGTAACGATCAGAGTTGGTAAAAAATATGTTTTAAACGTGTTTTACAGTTTAAAACATGCTTAGTTGATGTTTTTAATATGTTTTAAACATGTTTTTTATAGTACTGTTTAAAGCACATTTGAAGCATTAAAAACATATTTAAGAAGAAACACAATGTGTTTTATAATAAAAAAAAAAAAACATTAGTCTTTACCAACCCTGGTAACGATTCATTTTGTACAGTAAAATTGCGATAAATTTGTATAGATATTATTCTGGAAAGTCAATGGAAATTTATGAAATTTTGTTCGTATTTTTCATATTCTCGTTCATTCTGATAAGTTTTCCAATTCATTATAAAACGATAGAATGTTATAGAATTGGTTTCTTACTTTATCAATCGAAATTGATTGAATAAATTTCAGATCGATAACGATTTATTTTTATCTTTAATATATAATTAATTGATTATTCATTAAATAACGATAGAAATCGATGAATGCCAATTCGTAAATTGTATCGACGTTAAACCGTCAGATACAATAGAAAGAATACGATAAAGTGTTAGAATTTCTATCGTCAATTTCCTATAAAATACAAATCTTGTAGAATAAAATTTGTTAGGATTCATATCTAATGCTAATAAGCTTTGATGATACAGCTTATAAAAAACGATATAAATTAATAGAAATCCTACTGTTCTCAATCGTTCTTTATCAACTTGTCATAACAGAGCTCATTACATATAAATTTCAATTATTTCAAGCTCAAATTCTGGATAACACTAATTAATAACATTATATGATATTTGTTTTATTTAGAAAAATCTCGGCAAATGTCTACTATAGAAGAATATATGGAAGATCTTCGAAATGAAAGAAAGATTTCAGAAGAAGCTATTGAGAGGCGTCATAAAGAAAACATAGAATTACATCATCGATTACTTAATTCATTTGAGAAAATGTTAGATATTTTAGAAAAAAAATGAAACGTTAAAACAATATAAAAGTGTGAAAACCATTAATTATTTGATTAATTACGTACTGAATTACAAAACTTTAAACAATTTAAACATATTGACTCAAAACAAAGTAATGACGGAGCTTGTATTGTAATTAACTAGAGAAAAAAATAAGCCAAAACAATGAGCAAATCAAAAGTCTTGTTTTAATTAATACTCTGTATTTCATATATTTAATATATGGAACGTTTCAACCTTATTAACAAGGAGAGACTCACATATGTATTTCACAGATTTTGATCAGCTTTTGCGCACGTACTTGTTGCTGGTCTTTATATTTTAACCCATACAGCACACTTTATCCCGGAGATGTTCCTGCAAACGTTAAGACATTCTCAGAATGTTCTTCAGAACATCCCTTGGACATCTGTGTTATATAGGATCTACATTTAAGATAAAATAGCGTACTAAAATTGAGTAGTTGAATAATACTTGTCACTAGTCTTTAAACTATATCTACATTTAAGATCAAATAACATGTTAAGATTGAGTAATTGAATAATAATTTTATAATTACTATATTTTGATATTTGTATAAGAAAAAGTATGTTTTTATTGAATCTTTTTAAGATAATTTACTAAAAATTATTTATAGATATTATTTGTTGGATTTAAAAAAAATTTAGATCTTTTTGTAAAAATTAATGATTGTTTATTAGAAGTACGATTTGGGAACTTAATGATACAATTTAACGATCCGGTCTCCAAATCGTACCAAAAGCTACTTTTTTTTTTTAAATCTTAATTTAAACAGTAATTCTACGTTTATTTCCATAAAAATGTTGTTTTGTTTTATTGCCAATGAATCAAAGTTTGATGAAAGTATAGAAATATTTTGATCTCTTCAGTACTTTTGTTACAATTTTGTTCAAATGTTAAGGAGTATGATATAGGCAACTTTCCCCTATATATCTACAAAAAATTTTTATTGCTTTTTAAGATACACACCTTATACACTCTTTTTCTATATAGTTGCCGCCGTTGTTGATGCATTTATTATATTACTGGACACCATCCTTCGTCGTAGAAAGTTACCGCCTGTGAGACAAATCACTTGGTGACACCTTTGACCTCGTCGTCATCGTGAAATCGCCGGCCAGCAAGGGAGGATTTCAAATTAATTTTCTCTTCAATTGCACGCATCAAATCGTCATTAACCGGAGACGGTCGCCCGCTCCGTTCATCGCCGTGTACATTTTCGCGTCCTTCATTAAAAAGTCGTATATATTCATTTTCGTACCATTGACTGCGTTCAACAGAGAAAACTAATTAGTGAACGCTCAGTGATTCTTCAATACGATTGGTTCCTATATTTAGATCTAGCGAATATTTAAAGACAAGAATCAATCATATTAAAAAAATCTCTGAGCGCGCTCACTGATCAGTTTTCTCTGTTGAACGCAACCATTGCGTTCAGCAGACTCAAGAGTTAAGTGAGCGTTCGCTGCTATTGATGGATTCTTCTAGATCTAAAATTCTGATTGGATGGATCTAAAAAAATACACCAATGGTCGCATTGGTTCAGCAGACTCAATGTTGCGGAGCGGATCAGTGAGCTCTCGCTGCTATTGGATGAATAGAAAATAGCGTCAATTCCTTGTCAACAAATTAAACTCGTTATATGCATGCGCACCATTGCGACCGCATCGCTGCAACGGCAAAATTTAAATAAAAACAGAACTTACTTTCTGGATAACTCGTAATAAAATTTATTCTTATCAGCCCGATTTCTCAATATACAGGGTGTTTCTTAAATAGCAGACACTAATCATATAGCGCTATCCCTGATAAAAATTGAGTCAAGAATTCCCCTATTTTGCAACTTTCGTAATAATTAATGATTAGGCAGCCGGATACGCGCTTATATTCGGCAATATTTAGAAATTAATATTTCGTCAACCATTGCGAAAATCGCAAAAATATAGAGCACTTCGACTCAATTTTTAATAAGGAATAACGCTATATATGATTAGTGTCCGCTATTTAAGGAACTCCCTGCATATTTTAATTATATAATTTTTGATAGTTCTGTTATTATCTACAAAATGGAATACAATTGATAAGTATGTACTGATATATACATATATACGCGAAGGGCGCAAAATAATAAGCGAAGTTCAAAGAAATATTATCTTTCTTGTATCATCTTTCTTTTGCTTGTATAAATCAATCTTTCCTCTTTCGTTCCGAGAATATTATTTCAAAATAGATTATATAAAAATTAAATTGCTAAAAAAACCTCATTATTATTAGTAAAAACACAATACGGTTCCGCATAGTTCTGCACGATTACAGGCGGTTAGTAAATCCAATGAACTATACTATACGCACGAGTTTCTATGACTACAATGAACAAAACATTGATCGCGTTCATTGCTATTCCTCGTGATAACTTGTCATCACTGTCATTAATACTGATTAATACGTACTATACGTGGATGATACGTTGTCAATAGTTGTATTTCCAGTGATCTCAGACATCTCTTAATTAACATTTAATTTACAATTAACTTGCGATTAACATTTTAATCCAAGAGCCCATTTTCGAGAAATGGATTCCGAAAAAAACGATTCCGATAAGATCGAAGAACAATCGGTTACTCGATGGCGACAAGACCAGGAGGATGTGCCCATTACCTCGAGCAAAATCGATAGGCCGCCGACGGGTTTTGTAAGATCTCAAAGCAAGTTCGAACGACCAAGGTCTCGACGCGGACATAAGGATGAATCATCGGAGTATGTCAATTCGGCTATGTACCGTTCAGCAACACCAGGACGTCTCGCTCTTGCGAGACCACCATCGGCGTCCCTTTTATCGAATCGTGCACCGACCGCAGGTCCAGGCGGATTCAGAATAGGCTCCGGACTGAGTCGTTCTGGCACAGGACTGGTAACCGCTAAGCAGTTCAACGTCAGTGTGTTGGATAGACCGATTACACAGCATGGAATAGCAGGCATACGACCGGGTACCACCAGAGGTCTGCCGATGACGAGGTAATAGTGTTACGTAATCTCGCTGTTAGTACATCCATACATATTTTATTAATTTTTCAAATTTTCAGGCAGATTCAAGACAAGAGATACTACGAGGGTTTGCTGCAGCTGAAAATAAGAGAACTGATGCAAGAGATTGGAATGATAATAAAGGACATTGAAGTACAGAACAAGGAGAAAGCTACTTTCTTGCACTATGATAAGAGAGCTAAGAGCCTTGCCGCAGAGTTGACAACTCTACAGACTGAATTAGCAAATTACAATCTTGTCGTGGATAAAATGACTCTGGACGTGAGCAAGGAAGAGATTGAAGAGGAGGCTAAGGAGCTGGCGCTGATGAATGAACGTAGGATGGCAGAAGTCGAACGGATGTTCGAGCAACGGAAGCAGATGGAACAAAAACTGCATATGATAGAAAAGGATATCGAAAATGAGAGAAAAAGGACCGAACATATCATTGAGAATATGGATCCACACACAAAAGAGAAATACGATAATCTGTTCCGACAGAAAACAGAATTGCAGGAACAAGCACAGCAGATGCAGCGCGAATTGGATCAACTATCAAAAGAGCAAGTGCATTTGGAGGAACAGATCGCTCTCTCTCCGTTAAAGCAAGAGGCGGTGAAACTGCAAGTGAGAATCATCGAGGCTGAGGAAAAGCGAGACAAATTAAGGGAAGAAGAACGCAAAAGATTATCACCAGAAGATGAGAAGGAGCAACTGTTACAGAAAATCAAGCGTGACAACACCGACATTGCTGCGACAGAGGCACAAATAGCTGAGAAGGAGAAAAAGGTGGCAGAACTCGAGCAACAATTGGAACAGCTGGAGACCGACATGGAGGATAATCAATCAGAGAAGCAAATCAAATATCAGGAATTGCGTAAGCGCGAGGAGATGATGGAGGAGTTTATGTCCACGTATGAACAGAGCAAACAAGAGGAAATGGAGAAACTGGAAAAACTCGAGCAGGAGATCATTGACAAGCTAGAGACCATGGCGAACGCGGTAGAGAACAACGAGTACCTTACGGAAGCTGAAGAAACAGCTATTTTACGTGATAAATTCCCATACAACGATTACGAAACCGTGCATCGCGATGATGACTTCGAAGAGCTGAAGAAAGATTATGCAACTATGCAACAGACATTCAACAGACTAAGGATTCTAGAGGAAAAGCTGCAGCTAGAATCCAAGTTGATGAAAGAGAAGCTGAAGAAACAACAGAGCGAATTGATTGTCCTAGAGGATCTGGATGGGTTAAAAACACGAAATGAACTTGAACGGGACGAGTTAATCACCGAACGAGAAGGATTGGTGTCTGAAGAGTCGATTTGCGAGGACGAGCTCAAATCACTGCATACTGAATATAACGAACTTAAAGAGCGAGTGGAGAAATATGCGATTTATCCGGAGATCAGTAACCTAGACGATAAACTAGAAAAATTGAAAGAAGACAATAAAAAAATCGAGGAATTCATAGCTAAAGAAAAGGAGCGCGTTAATTATGAGCCGGTCAAAGAGAAAGCTTTCGAACTAATTAACAGTTATGGAGCGCTACTTCAAGAGAATCTCAATTCCCTTTATTAGATAATGTACTTTACACTATGTCTCTATAATTAACATTATTTCTATATTCACCTCCTAACAGTATTTATTCAAAAATAAACATGAACAATCAAAAATAAGACGACAGAAATTCTCGGAATCAACAATTTTATTTTTTCATACTTTATTATATAGATTGTCAAGTTTATTTTAATTTCTATCATCTGGCTACTTTATCTATCTTTGGATTATCATTATCCGACGCGTATTGTCCTTAAGATTCCTGTTTATTCACTACTCTCTCAGATTATGATGTTAGAAGCAAGAAAAAATACATAATAAAAATTCTTACAACCATATTAAAATCAAAATATGTGTATTTCAATAAAACAACACAATTGATAGAATTGATTTTTTAAATATACTGAAAACTTCTTTTCGTTTCATTAATTAAGGAGATGCTGGAGTGAACTTGATCGATGTAGATAGTAAAGATTTTTAAAATTCCAAATAAAAAAAGTCGATAATATTGATATCTTTAATTCATTTCTTAAATTATTGTTCTGTCTCACTCAAACGCATACGTCTGTCCTTATTTAACATATCGTAGCGCCATCTCTTGCAAGATCGAGTACCTACTGCTAGACAATTATATTGCTTTGTTTTTATACTGTTCCAAGTTTTCGCTCAGCATCCGTATACACGTAATTTGCAAATCAATATAAATCTATTTTTTTAAGCTTTTAATCTTATTTTCATGAAGTCAGAGCTATAATGACTTCTGCATATTGGACGCGGAAACGCTTGCTACACGGCAAAATGCGACGCGGTAACATTGGCTGCGTTCAGCAGACTCAACAGTTTTGCAACCGTTTTATGATTGCCTGGTGAGATAGGACCATTCTTCTAGATCTAAAAGTATGATCCAATTAGCGCGAAGGAAACTTACAACAGTTGCAAAACAAACGTTCTGCTGAACGCACCCATTAGTTGCTTTCCATCACACGTACAAAAATTTTAGTCGGAATCGTAAGGTCGCAAGCAAATCGACCAATCACAATCAAAATTAAGATCTCGCGTTTTTAAACGCTCGACTGTGATTGGCCGATTTGCTTACAGCCTTACGATTACGACTAAAAGTTTTGTACGTGTGATGGCCTTTACACACAAGTGAAACTGATAGCGTTTTCGGTCCGATCGGGTTTGCACCAATCTGGGTTGGATTAATCTTTCCTGTTGGTTGACGTTACACGCTCTATCAATGGCTGCATTCAGCGGACTCAACAGTTGAGTGAGCGTTCGCTGCTATTGACGTATTCTTCTAGATATAAAATTATGATTGGATGATCTAAAAGAATACACCAATAACAGCGAGCGCTCACTCAACTGTTGAGTCCGCTGAATGCACCCATTAGGAGAGCACAATGAGCGCTCAGTGAGCTTTTGTATCTGTTTGGTCTATATTTTTAGTTCTAACGGAATATGCAAATCAGACGTAAGAGCTCACTGAGCGGTTGTAGTACTGAATGCACCCATTGAGAACGACAACCGCTCACTGAGCGCGCAGTGAGCGCTTTCATCTCATTGGCATATTCCGTTAGATCTTAAAATATAGACCAATCAAATGAAAGAGCTTACTGAGCGCTCAGTGAACAGTTTGCACCCCTGCATCACATTTTGCTGCGCGGCAAGCGTTACCGTGTTTTGTGTGCGAGAGCTATTAAAGACGTCTAAAAGGCCGCGTTCCGAAATTTACTGCCACTGCTGAAAATCTGTAGTGCATGTTACGTATACTGTAGGTTTTCAGTACTGGCAGTGAATATCTGAAAGCCTAATCAAATTAAAACCTAATTGTTATACGAAAATTTATGTGTATGTGCGGCATGCGTGAGTGAGATATTGAGATAGCGATGTGTCAACGATCCGTAAATCGTCTTTGTGTAAGTACTATTTTCAATATGACTAAATATTCAATATGACGCTCAATTGCACCATTTTAATTTAATGTTACTTTAATTTTAAGTGAGGCTTAAAACTCTCTTTGTCTGTCTTTTTTTCCTCTTTAAAACGAGACAGAGAGAGTTTGAAGTCTCGCTTAAAGTTAAAGTAACGTTGGTGCAACTGGGCCTAATTGTCTTTAGGATTCCCTTAACTAACTTGGAAATTAATTATGCATAATGAAAAAAGCTATGTTTACAGTTATGATATATAATTGTTATTAATAATATATAGAAATAAATATGATTTAATTTTTTCTCGAAACAAGAAGATAGTTCTTGTTATATTTTAGAGAGAAGTATATTTTAGAAGTCTATTCTGGCTGTGTTCCAAATTTACTGTCAGCACTGAAAATGCTACAGTTTACGTTACGTGCACTATAGATTTTTAGTACTGGCAGTCAATTTTGGAACACAGCCTCTATCAATTGCAAATATTGCTTTATTAAAAAATATTTTTATTTGAATATATGTGTAAATTTTATAAAAATTTTTATGTTTTCTCACTTCCAATGTTACAATCTGAGATTAGTAGTGGTGAATGATCCAAAGTTTTAATATTTAAATTCACCAATTAGTAAATCACTAATATGTTTATTTCACTTTTATTCTGTTCAATTGTGGAGGAAACGAAATTTTATTTGACAATAAAAATTGAGTAAAACTCTCCTTAAATTGTTCGGTAGGCTTGATATTCTTTATGCACATAATTTTCCACAGTTCTAAAGCGCGGTTGCAGTCTCCCATTTTATCTGCGAATGTAAACATTAAACATCTACATTAGGATCGTTTATATAAACTTTAAAATATAGAGAGAATATAGCTTACTGTAAGCAGAAAGGAGCGTTTTACACATCACATTTTGATTCACATGATTTGCATTGGCTACTTTAAGAATATTTTGCAAGCCATCTATAATACTGTTACTTTCTATGGTACTAAGATAGTACACAAGGCAATTCATGGAGAGTTCGTGATCCTGTAATAGAAAGATTAGAAAGGTTTGATGAAAAAAAATATAAATCAAGAGATGAAACCAATAAAATTAATTAATTGTTATGCAAATTCAGAACATCATCTAAACTGAACCGGTTTTGTAATTAAATTGCAAATAAGAGAAATATAAACCAAATGCCGCAATCAAAAACGTTTCGGTTACCTGTAATAAAATTTGTAGTTTCTCTGTTTTGTCCAATGTTGCTAATGCTATTGCTAGTATTGTGTTTGCTGTTCGACTGGAATGAATAGCACTTGTTATATCATACACGTTTTTTATCCAGTTATTCGCATTGTGCAATTTTAAATTGTATTTTTGCTCCAACAATACTATTAATACTTCCAATACTAACGGCGTCTTGTGAAATTTTCGCGCGCATTCCACGAGTACATCCACGGCTTCTAAGATATTATCGCGTTTTAATGGTATCGCCACCAGTGGCTTTAGCAGCTCCGTGGTTACTTGACAGCAATTTTTTTTCAGAAGCAAATTTAACATATCCTTCGTGCGCTCGCGATATTGACTCTGTGCCAGAACTTGCAGAAGTCTACAACAATGTGCCTGCACGTCTGCTTTAAAATCAATGACGTTGACTGTATTGATAATATCAAAAGCCTTTGTAGGTTTATTTGCCTTCACTAATGCGGTGGCGTACATCACGATTCTGTCAATCTCGAATTCATTAGGTATAATTTGCAATTCGGATAGCAAGGTTTCAGCCTCGTTCAATTTGTTGTTCTTGAGATACAATTTGAATAAAATTGACTTCATGCTAGGCGTCCATTTGTACTGGCACGCATCATATTCTTGTTTTATCTCTTCAATTTTTTTTATATCATTCTCTAAACAATATGAGATCAACAATTTCTGCAAAATGTTCTTAATATAGTTTTCATGGACGGGACCAGTGGAATTCTTTAGTTCCACTAAGTAATATGTTAATTCTTTAGTGTTCATGTACTGCAGGTGTGACATGATCTGCAAATCTTTTATAGAAGGATCAACTAAATTTTCTATTAGATTTATCACCTTTGGAGTGAGATTAAAATTTTCATTTTTTTTTAGTCTATCCTTGAGAATGTTTGCATCCGTTTGCGATATCTTTACCTTACGCACTTTTAATTCTTCCAGGAGAAGCTGCAGATCCTCTATATAAATTGGACATTCGACTTTTATCAATGATTTCAAGAATATGCCGACAAAATTTTGACCTCGTGGAAATGCCATCAATAACGCAATACAATTTTTGAAGTCTTTAGTAGCGATATAAGCGCGTACTAGCGGTTTCATCAGTTCCTTGTAGTGTACCTTGTAGCGTATATGGGACGTACACAGTGGCACTATATCCTGCAGCCGATTTTGCTGCAGCAGAAAAGACAATAAAGGCGTAAGTGCGATAGTACCTGGTACGTCATTCAGTAATAGTTTTTGTAAAGCGACAGTTGGATTCATAGTATTTACATATGGATATACATAATGAAACAGGGTATCGGAATCTATTTTTAGACCAGCGTTCACCATAGATTTCACAAGTGAATATATCTCAGCCTCTCCCTTGTTATTGTACGCTTTTATCAATAAAGGCCAATAATAATGCGGTCGTATTTCTATATTCTTATGTCTCATCACCTGGAATATCGCAAGGCACAGTTTTTTTCTACCCAACTTCAAACTGATCTCCGCTACATCGAACAATGCTTGTTGTTTGTAACTGGATTCAACAAAATCGTTTGCGTACTTAATGATGTCGTCAATCGGCGCGTTTAAGATTATTAGTTCGTTCATGAAACTATTTACAAAACTCGGCACAATCTCCTTCATCGCATTGTTCATTGCGACACAATTTATGATAGTGTGAGCGTCCACAATTTGATTTGCATGTATCAGTTCTCTGATGATCTTGGAGATCTCAGTCTGAAGCGCCGGTACAGAGATCATTAAAAAATTCAAGATAACTGGGATATGCCTGTTGTTGTTGGACATGCTCAGAATCTTTATTATCCTCAAAAGATTCGCGTTGTCCTGCGGCTCTTCGTTTAATATCTTAATTAGATTCGGAATATCGCCGAGTCTCGCGTATCCACATGCCAGCTC